AAGCAATAACTTTCGTATACACAAAAAATCCCATGGCTGAGAAAGAACTTGTAAGATCAGTCCCTTTGACAATAACTATAAAAATATTTAAATAGCTTGGGATAACCAAGAATGTGAAATATCTCTACATAAAAATTGTGGAACATCAAGGAAAGATATAGAAAACCACACCCCCAAACGGAAATATCTTTATGTTCATGGATTGGAAGAATTACTATAAGCAAAATTCTACCCCACCCTAAACAATTTAGATTCAATGTGATTCCAATCAAAATACCAAAGACATTCTTCTTAGATCTGGAATAAATGGCCCTAAAATCCATATGGAATCACAAAGACTGCAAATTGCTAAAGCAATATTAAACAACAACAACAACAAAATAAACCTGAAGGCATCATCAGAACACCATTTTCAGTACATATTACATGATACAACCAAAACAGCCTGGTACTTGCACAAGAATAGATATCTAGACCAATGGAACAGATTAGAGTCCCCAGAAGTTTTTATCCATAACATCTACAACCAATAACCTTTGACAAATGAGCAAAATCACTATCTGAAGAAAGGACAGTATCTTCAACAAATGATTCTAGAAAAAGTGGATTGCTGAATGCAGAAGTATGAAACCAGACCCATCATACCATACACCTGATACAAACAACTACTCACAATGGATCAGAGATACAAAACTAAGACTGGAAATCATCAGATTATTAGAGGGATAAATAAGGGAGACTGTAAGACATCGGCCAAGGCAAAAACATCTTGGAAAAGACCTCAGAAACACAGGGAATAAAGGCAAAAAAGGACAAATGGGTTTACATCAAGCTAAGAAGTTTCTGCACTGCAATGGAAATACTCAACAAAGTAAAGAGGTAACCTATAGAGTGGGAGACAATATTTGCAAACTATACACCTGATAAAGGATTAATATTGATGACACATAAAGAGCTCAAGAAAACCAACAATAAGACAAGCAATCCAGTTAAGAATGGGCTAAGGATATGAACAGGCATGTTTCAAAGAATGAGATACAAATGGCCAATAGGACAGATGAAAAAATGCTCAAGATCACTGGCCATGAGGGAAATACAAATAAAAAACCACAATGAGGTTTCACCTCACCCCAATTAGAATTGTTATCATAAAAATATTAAAAAAATGCTGGTAAGGATGTAGGGGAAAAGGCACCCTAATATACTGTTGGTGGGAATGTAAAGTAGTATAATCATCATGGAAGACAGTATGGAGATTCCTCAGAAATCTGAAAATAGACCTACCATATGACCCAGCCATCCTACTCCTGGGAATTAACCCAAAAGAAATGAAATCAGCATATGAAAGATGCTGTAAGCCAGTGTTCATTGCAGCTCAACTAACAATAGGTAAGATAGGAAATTAACTCAAATATCCAACAACTGATGACTAGATATTGTGGTGTATATGCATGATAAAATACTACTTAGCCATAAAAAAGAGTGAAATCAAGTCTTTCACAATAAAATGGATGCAACTGCAGACCATTATGCTTACTGAAATTAGCCAGTCACAAAATGACAAATATGTTTTCCCTGATTTGTGGTAACTAACATAATCCAAAGGAATATGATGTATAGGAGCAAAACTGGCATTCTGAGATTTGATTATTGTTTATAGCCCTTGTCTATACTCTGGAGGAATAGTTTTTCTACTTACTACTTGTTGAATTCTTCATAATCACAAGCTTAACTCTCCACTAAATAAAGTAAATTTAAAGTATTCATTGTAAAAATTAAAAGAAAAAAAGGAGGGAGGAGCAGGGTGGGAGTGAGGGAGAGAGGAAGGGTGTAGTGGGAAGTATCATTATGTTCTTATAAGTGTGTACATGAAGTACATGAAATTTGTTCCCTTGATATAAATAAAATTTTTTAAATGCAACATTATACAGAGAGAGAATGGGGAGGGAAAGGGAGAAATATCTCTTCCATCTGCTGTTTCACCCTCAAAATAGCCTCAATAACCATAGCCCATCAGGTAAAGCTGCCACCTGCAGTGCTGGCATCCACATGGGCACCCACTCAAGTCCTGGATGCTCCACTTCCGATCCTATTCTCTGCTATGGCTTGGGAAAGTAGTGGAAGATGGCCCAAGTCCTTGGGCCTCTATACCTCCCTGTAACACCCAGAAGAATCTCCTGGTTCCTGGTTTCTGATTGGCTCAGCTGTGTCCACTGCAGCCATCTGGGGAGTGAACCTGGAAGAACTCTGGAAGACCTCTATTGGTCTCTGTCTCTTTCCCTCTGCCTCTACCTCTAGCTCTGCCTTTCAAATAAATAAAATATCTAAAAAAACAATTACTTATTAGAAAATCAAGTGTATACTACCATCAGTGAACAGTACCTCTAGCTCTGCCTTTCAAATAAATAAAGTATCTATAAAAACAATTACTTATTAGAAAATCAATTGTATACTACCATCAGTGAACAGGTAGATACTGATATAAAAATTAAAATAGCATACTAAAATGAAAACTCATAACTCTATGAATAAAATACAAAATATGTTGGCTGAAGATTAAAATGCTGATGATGGAAACTAAAGAAGATCTAAGTAAATACACTGTGTATAGGTTTGGAAGGTTGAATATTATTGATACCGTTTCTTGTAAAATGGTTCTATAGGTTTAAGATAATCTAAATAAGAGGTTTTTTGAGAAAAAAAAAAAAACCCGACTGTAATCAGGAAAACCCAAGACAATTGACTATCATGTCCACCATGAAAAACAAGGAACTGGGTGAAACCACAATACTGCGTCTCAAGACTTACAATAAAACTACAATAACCAAGATGGTTTGGAATTCATGAAAGAATAGAAGATACACATTTCAATGGAGTATGATTGTGAGTCCAAAAATAAACCTCATGCCAAAATACATAAACAACAATTGTTAAAACTACAAAGAGAAACAAACAAATGCACTATTACACTCACAGATGTCAAGACATCTCTTTCGTTAACAGATCAGCAGTTAGACAATCAGTAAGGATGTAGCTGAACAGAAAAGCACCTAAATCAACCATGCGCCAAACGGATCCTTAGAGGATGCTCCATTCACAGCAACAGAACATGACACACTTCTCAGACCCACACGGCACATCCACCCTGAGCACATGCATGGGTGCACAGCAGACCTCAACTCCTAAGAGGTGCCACACAATGTAAGCTCTCAGATCACAATACAACTACCTAAAAAGTCAGTACAAAAAAGCTGGAAAATACCAAAAACTTGGAGAACTATCAACAAAACTCAAAGTAACACGTTTATAGATCTCAAATAAAAAATATTTCAAACTAAATTGAAACTGTATCCTGCCAATTTATATTAATAGATGCATATTTTAGAAAAGAAGAACCAAGATCAATGAGCTACACTTTCACCCTAGAAGTCAGAGGAAGAAAAGCAACTTAACACTTAAAGCCAGGTGAAGAAAATAAACCATGAAAGTTACAAGTACTAGTCAATGGAACTGAAAAAAGTACAACTACAGACAAAGAGCAACAAAACTAAAATTTGGTTCTTTGAAAACATCAACAAAATTCGTGAACTCCTCATCAGGACCAACCAAGAAAAAAAACGTGCAAATTACTATATTATTAACAAAATGGTGACACCACGACCCCATGATCAAGCTAATGTAAAGGAATAGTATGAACTAACTCTGTGACCAAAAATCTCACAATTATGTGAATTCCTTGAAACGTAGAATATGCCAAAATTCACATAAAGACAAACAAAAAACTTGAATGCTTCCATAATTACTAAATGTTATCATTTATAATAACTATAGAAACATAAGTATAAAGTACAATGAAAATTATTAAATATATATTAGTGATTAAATTCACATATCCTGTTTTTGCTCAGCTAAAAAGAAACAGTGGGCAGAAAAGTACTTACAGGGACCTGCCTTGTGGGATGGCAGGTTGTGACACTGCCTGGTACAATGTCATTCCATAGAGTTGCCAACTGGATTCCTGCCTGTTACACTTTTTTTTTTTTTAAAGATTTCTTTATTCATTTAAAAAGTAGAATTACAGAGAGTCAGATGGAGACAGAGATAGAGAAAAGTCTTCCACCAGCAGGTTCACTCCCTAGATGGACGCAACAGCCGGAGCTAAGCTGATTTGAAACAAGGAGCCAGGAGCTTCCTCCAGGACTCCCACACAGGTGCAGGGATCCAAGGACTTGGGCCACCTTCTACTGCTTTGCCAGGCCCCAGCAGAAAGCTGGAACGGAAGTGGAGCAGCTGGGACTGGAACCAACACCCATATGGGATGCCGGTACTGGAGGCAGCAGTTCCATCCGCTCTGCGCTCCCACACCCTTTGTTTGACTTATGATCCAGCTGTCTGCTAACATGCCAGGGAAAGTAGAGGAAGTGGCCCAAGAGCTTGGGCCCCTGAACCCACACTGGAGTACTGGATAAAGTCCCTGGCTTCTGCTTTGGCCTGGCCCAGCTCTGGCCATTGTAGCCACCTGGGGAGTGAACCCATACATTGAAGATCTCTCCCGCACTGCCTCACCTATAACTCTGCCTTTCAAACAAATCTTATTTATTTATTTATTTATTTATTTTTTGACAGGCAGAGTGGACAGTGAGAGAGAGAGAGAGAGACAGAGAGAAAGGTCTTCCTTTTTTGCCTTGGTTCACCCTCCAATGGCCGCCACGGCCGGCGCACCGTGCTGATCCGATGGCAGGAGCCAGATGCTTCTTCTGGTCTCCCATGCGGGTGCAGGGCCCAAGGACTTGGGCCATCCTCCACTGCACTCCCTGGCCACAGCAGAGAGCTGGCCTGGAAGAGGGGCAACCGGGACAGAATCCGGCTCCCCGACCGGGACTAGAACCCGGTGTGCTGGCGCCACAAGGCCGAGGATTAGTCTAGTGAGCCGAGGCGCCGGCCCTCAAACAAATCTTTAAACAGAGGAAAAAAAAAACAAAACAACAACTAGTACTTACTATGAGGTGTCAGAAGCCTGGGGCAGGCTGGAACAGAGCACAGAGCGATTCTTGGGTTCCGCTTACGTTTCTTTCTCCTCCGTGTGTGCAGACTGTGAAAAGTCAGATTACATGCATATTAATTCAAGCGCCCCATGCCCCTGTGTTCCTGCACACACGTTACACTCCCGAACAACCTGGATAAGGGAGGCCGTCACGGCCTCTTCTCACTGACGCGGCCAAGGCTACTTCTGGCCAGGGATAGAAAACCCCAAAAAACGGAACCGGGGCTGCGGGAAAAGTTCCTCTCCCAACCTCCCGACCCCACCCCCCGCCCCGCCGCCCACCGGGACTCCTGTCACTCTCCCCTCCCTTTCCTCTCCCCCACGCGCGTTTCTTCCCCTCCCTTCCTCGCCTCCCCAACTTCACGCCTCCTTTTCATTCTCCCTCTTGGCCCCCTCTCTCCTCTTCCGTCCCCGCGACCCCTCACACACACACACACACACCCTCCCCGCTTTGTGCACCCGGGCCCCGCCTACCCCGTGACAGGAACGCCACTGCTCCTTAGGAACAGAAATTGAGTCCCGAGGTGTAGACTTCCAGAAGGGGCCGAAGAAGAGGACCAAGCCCAGAAATTAACAGAATCCCAAGGAAATGAAACCACCGCTTCGGGCCGCAGCCTCTCCTGATCCCAGCCTGACCCTGGGGGCGCTGGGTCTCCCCAGGCGTGGCGTGCAGCGTCGCTCAGAACGGCTCCTCAGGGCTTGTGCAGGCCCTGAGCAGGAGAGAACGCGGCGCCGACTCCCACCTGAGCACCACTGGGCAGAAGGGCCGCGCGTGCGGTTGCACTTCCGGGTCACAGCACCGGCGCAGGCGCACTCCTCATGCGCGGCCGCCATGGCGCCGCGTGACGCATATGCACGCTTCCTCGTCCAGTGTCCGATGCCACAGGGCCACTTCCAGTCCCACTGCTCCAGGCTTTGACCCAGGGACGCAGCCACTGTTGGCCCAGGTACTCTGGACCCTTCCCTCTTATGTTGCGGGAATCCTGACTGGAGCTCCTGCTTCCTGGCTTCTGCCTGGCTCAGGCTAGCCATTGAAGCCTTTTGGGGAGAGAAGCAATGCAGGGGCCATCGCGAGTTCGCTCTCTCTCTCTCTCTCTGAGTGATTGTCCATCTGGGGGTTCATCCCCGAGGTGGCTACAAAGGCCGGGGCTGGGCCAGGCTGAAGCGGAAGCCAGGGACTTTATTCAATACTCCATTGTGGGTTCAGGGGCCTAAGTCCTTGGGCCGTCTCCCTCTGCTTTCCAAGGCATGGGCTTCTCACTGGCCCAATTCTGGCTGTGGCAGGAATTCCGAAGGCAAAGCATGCTTGCAAGATTTCTTTGTCTGTCTTTGTTTCTTTGTCTTTCAAATAAACAAATTAATTAAAAACAATAAATCTGTCAGAAAATATTTTAAAGAAAAAGGAAAAGTGAGTGGGATTGAGACAGGTGAATGTTTAAATGTGCTCTTCATTTCATAATCTTGCCTTCTCAGGTCCTAGAACAGTTATTCATTAGTATCCAGGAATTTCTTAATAGTAAAGATCAGTAGTTTTCTTGGAAATTGCAGATGCTTGTCTTTTCATAAATCACTACCTCAATAAGGAATGCCAGCTGAGGTTCAAGACCAACTGGACACTTGCTGGGTTTTTTTTTTTTAACATGTTTGTTTGTTTACACACTCTTGAAAGGCAGAGTGACAGAAAATATGAGAACAAGACAGAAAAAAATCAGAGAGAGAAGAAGAGAGGGAGAAAAAGAAACTTCAGTTCAGTGATTCACTCTCCAAAAAGGCCCACAATAGCCAGAATTGGGCCAAAGTACAGTCAGGAGCTCAGAAAATCCACTTGGGTGCTCTGTATGGACCCCAGAAGTCAAGGCACCTGGGCCATTAGCCCTAGACTCCTAGGATTAATTAGTGGGAATGTGGATTAGAAGCAGAGGTGGAGCTTGACCCCAGGTAGTACAACATGGGGTGCAAGCATCCCAAACACCTGGTTAATTTGCTGTATCACTTTGTCTGCTCCAAACACTTGTTATTTTCAACCTTTAGGCAGATAGTAGATAACTGTACTGTGCGAATTTAATTTAACAATAACACACTGAATATGAACCAACCTTGTTCTAGATTTCTCTTCTTGGTGTCTTGAAGTTTCTTTTTGATTATAAATAAAATAATTATTGAATAAAGTAAGAAGGCATCCCTCATGTGGAGCAGTTCCAAAAACAACAGTTCATGAAGTTGGTCTATGGATTTCCTCAGAGGAATATACACACAAAATGGATTTTACTCTGGTTAATTCTTCAGTTGCAGATGGAGTAGGTGTTGTCCATGCTTTCTTAAAAAAAAGCACGTATTAACAAACCTCAGATGTTGTTTCTAGCAACCCCATCATTATCATAAGGGTCTTTCTGTGTCCAAGCAGGAATATTTCCAGTGGTCCCATGTTCCTGACTTTGGCTGTGGGTTGAACTGCTCAGCTGAAACTTCTGAGAAGTCACTGGCTGGAATTTCAGGTAGTTACCACAACTTAATAGCACTATCACTCTAGATACTTTCAAAATTCAATCCTAGCTCTATGAGCATTTGATCCAATTTCCTAGAGAAAGAATATGCTGATTTCATAAACTTTTACTATTTATAATTTATTGTCTAATCCTGAGACCCTTTTAGTTGTCTGTTTTTCTAATGATCATTCAGTTCTCACTGGTCTAGAAATCCACAGTTCTCCCTTCAGTTTCAATAGCTGGGAGACAATTACATTTGTCATCACAAAAATCATGCTATGTAATGGGAGTGTTATTTAATAACGTATCTGACAAACTAATTCTTTTGTAAATACTGGTTAATTTTAATTTGACTACTTCATAATAACATCAAAGGAGGCACCTTGAATATTTCCAAGTCCATTTTAGGCAAGCTCCTTCTGGAAAATTTTCCTGCTGTTAACTAATCTCATCCCCAGTGATTTAATTATTGACAAAAAAGTATTATTTTTCTTAGATTTGCCTATTTCACCTTTTTCTCTAGTTCTCTGTGCCAGTTCTTACAATAAATCTACTGGGAGGCATAAAGTCTTATGTAGAGTGAACTCAAGTACAACATGGGGTACTTTTGCATGTTTGATTTTTAAAAATGAGAAACTAATTCATAAAATATATAGAGAGCATCCAATTCCTTTTACCACTTCTTTCATGTACCTGATTTAAATCCGTCATACTGCAGAGGAATAGATTAAGGTTATTCCAGCAAATATTATTTCCAGATATTTTTATAGTCTCATTATATTTTCAAAATAATTCCTATACAAATGACATGTTATAATTTTAGCTTCATGGCTTAATAAAAGCATTATGTGTAATGAATAAAAATAAACTAAAATATGTTGGACCCAAAACATGACATGTGTAGCTTACAAAATGTCTCAGTAGTGAGTTCTACAAAATTTTATAAGATGAGCACATGGTCAGATGATATTTGAAAGTTATAGATTGCTGCTGTTGTCTAAATGTATCTGCCTCCTCTGACACTTGTTGAAATTTAATCCCCATTATGAGATATTAAGAAATGGGACCAAGGTGGGACTTTCTCATGACTGGGTTAACCTATGCATGTGAATGTTGGGTTAACAGATTATCTTGAGAACAGACCAGCAACAGAAGCTCCGTAGTGACTGGTGCCCTCCACCTGCAAGATAATGTCTCCACCAGCAAGAAAGCCATCACCAGGTGTGGCCTCTCAAACCTGGACCACCGTCACAAGCCAGGGTAAGTCTTTTTCCTGTGTACTTTGCCCAATCTGTTGTATTGTGTTGTTAGTGACAGAAAATGCACTAAGACAAATGCCAATTCTGTTCATTTCATTCCCAATTTCCATATTATAAATCTGTGTTATTTTCTTATTTGGGCTGATGAGATATGAGTCTGGCACTGTCCAAGTGTATGGGGGTGGTTTTATGAACCCAAATTCCAAATTTATAATTTATGATTGAAAAACCAAATTCCAGGCTGGTCTTGTTGGGCAGTGGGTAAAGGCCACCACCTATGAGATCCCATGTAAGTGTTAGCTATTCCACTTCTGATCTAGCTCTTACTAATGGCCTGGAAATATCAGTGGAAGATGTCCCAAGTATTTGGTCCCTTGACCACCCAAGTGGGAGGCCTAGATGAAATTCATGGCTACTGGCTTTGGCCTGGCCCAGACCTGTCCATTGTGACCATCTGGGGAGTGAATCAGCAGATGAGATCTCTCTCTCTCTCCCTCTCTCTCTCATTCCAATTTTCAAAATAAATAAATCTTTAAAAAAGGAGAAACAGAATTCCACCTCCAACAGGAAAATAAAATACAACAAAACATAACATGCAGGAGATAATATCTGAAAAAAAGAAGATAATATCAGATACAGTGGGTCAGCACCTGATACCTACTACTGCTACTATCATTCTGTAAGGAAGAGAGAGAATGGAATGAAACAGAAATGATACGATGGCATGAACCTGAGTTTTCCTACTCATCTATGCCAAATATGAACTTGTGACTCTAGGATCTTAAAATAAGTTTCAGAAATGACATGCAGTCATTGCTTGTGTAAGAATTCTAGGCACTGTTCCCTTGGTACTTTGAACATAATACCTCTCACCACAATTTACATTATGAATAACTGGGGAGGGAGAAGTGATTGTGTGGATAGTTAGGAAAAGATTCAGTTTAGTGTAGGCAAAAAAAGCAAGGTAAGCAAAGTGAGCATTTGAATCTGTCCCACAACCAAGAAGATGCCTGTAACACAACTTCAGCTACCAATCTATGACATGGAAGGGGCTTTTTCTGGCTCAATGAGAGAGGCCATGGTTGAAAAATGACAATTGGAAAATAGAACAACTCCATAGATGTAAATATGGAAAAGAATAAATTAATTTCTTTGACATTAGATGAAATATTACTTGTGATAAATCTGCTGATTTTCTGAGGTGAAAATCAATCTATAAATAAAGCAAATACAGAAATAATTACTCCTGATAGAGGCTTTTTCAATATAATTTAGTAGCAGACTAAATATCTAGATATAGGAAGTTCCTACATATCTTCTTTGTAAAGTCATCATTGAAATGGTCAATATTTTAGAGTCAAGTGTCTTTTATTATCTTTAGATAATAATTGTTTGGGAAAAATATTGTTATCAATTTCAAACTGCTTAAGATGAAAGTTTGGATGACTACTTACAGCTGGAACAAAATCTCTCTTTTTAAGGAAAAATCACTTTCTCAATCCTTGAAGACCAAAATGTTTTCTTTTTCATTAGTATTTCAGTGTGCACGTCAGTAATTATCTTTTCCAAACATATCAGATTCAACTTTGTCTTTAGAGTTGCTTACATATTTCACATTTTTACTTGGATTTTCCAAAAAAGAAATCCTGACTCCTAAACCTTAATTGTGGCGAAGTCTAAGAGCTGTTATTTTTATGTTTAACTGTGCACAGGCTCATGGAATACATGAAATAAAGCAAGCTCCCACATGCAGTGTGCTGGACAGGTCTCCAGATGGCCTTGGGTTGACACCAGTTCTTCATTTCTCACTTTAGCTTTCAAGAATAACCATTAATTTTGCTGAGAAAAAAAGGAGATGGGGTGGAAATTGGGACCGAAGCTGCCTGCTTCTGTCTCAGTTCCCTTAGAAACAGGATGTCCTTCAACACTTCAAGTGCATACTCACGTGGTCCTGGGGTTCTGGAGCTCTCAAGTGGGAAATACACAGTGGAGGTCCTGTCATTCCTAGACAGCTGTCCTGAACCTCACTGGCCAGGCTTGCTCTCTGCCCTAGGCATCTGTTGTCCCTTGCTGTTTATCCATGAGTACTACACCTGCTTTATGCAACATGTGTGCATGAGATTTTTCTGCCAAAAGGCCCAGACACTGGTAACCAAGGCACAATGAGCCTGTCTCACACAAAGTCTGTTTTTTTTTTTTTTTGAAAGAAAGATGTACATAGGGAAGCATAGCCCTGGAGAGCCTGATCATCTATGTGAACCCTGAGTGATCAGAAACACGAATTTCCCATTCTGACAGTCCACTCTCTAGCCCTTCAGGCTTGTCAATTGAAGGTGTGCTTAACAACTTTACCAGATTCATCTAAGCACATGACGTTGAACACAGGTAACTTGAAAGAATATGCCTAAAACATGCAACTTACTTTGTGCCTGTGGACAGCACACAGCAAGTCAGTTGTCCACAATCACTGTTTACATGTCTCTTAAATGGATACTTTTAAGGTTGGAGAATTCTGGTTTAATTTAATTTATTTGAAAGGCAAAGAGACAGATGGGGTGAGGGAGTGGAGAGAGAGCTCTCATTATCTAGTTTACTCCCAGTGCTGGCAAAGGTCTGGAGGAGTCAGGACAAAAGCCAGAGACAAGAACTAAATCCAGGTCTACCACACAGAAGAAAGGAACCCAACTACTTGAGCTGTTACCTGGCGCTACCAGGGTTCTGCTTTGGTAAATGGCTGGAATCAGCTATCAAATCCTAACTGGCAGATACGGAAATCTGGCACATTAAACTGGCATTTCAATCCATGAGGACAAATGCCCACTCCAAGAAGGTTATTGTGAAGGAATCTGGGATAGGATTTCATTTTTACTTTACATTATTTTGTTTAATAGCTTTTGACTATGACATTAATTTTGAAATTAAAGTAAACAAGAAAATAGAACAGTGTTTCTTCGAGCTATTCATGCTATATTCCTTAAAACTAGGAAGAGACAATTATTTTACAATTCTTCATACATAAGTTAATGACTTCAATTTATGTAAGTTCACCATTTATACTCAAACCAGAAGTTATATGGTTATACTATATAACAAGCAGCCAGTATAGAAGGTTCACATTCACATTTGCTGACTTGATTATTATTTTTTTAAATTAATTTGAGTGGTAGATAAAGAGAGAGAATAAAAAACAGGAACAGACAGCAGAAAATTCACTTGTTTACTCCCCAAATTCTGGCAATGGCCAAGACTGGCCTAGGCACAAGCTCAGAGTTGAGAACTCTGTCCAGTTTTCCCTCATGAGTGGCCTGAATCCAGTCACTTGAACCATTGCCATTGACTTGCAGGTCTGCATTATCAGGAAGTTGGAATCAGGAGCTGGAGTTGGAAATTGAACCTGGGCACTCCAATGTAAGTCATGGGGATTTTAACCATAAGGCCAAAAGGTTACTCAGTTTTACGAACTTTCTCCCTAACATCTCCGAAGTTTTCTTAGGATTAGTCCCTCACATGTACAACTTCTACCTCTCTAACAGACTCCATTTACATTTTTGCAGTTCACCAAAGTTTTTAGTTTATGTCCAAACTTTCTTGGTTTACATTGCAGTGTGGTTTACTGAATTTATACAGTGGTAGATCCAGCATTGTAACTGAGGTATACATGTTCATCATTCCAAATGTTCCCTGTCACTTTACAATTAGTCCTACCACCTATTCCCATCACTAATCAAATCAGGGCTGGGCAATCACTGTCTAGGTTTCAGTTTCTGTATTTTTCCTCTTCCGGAAAGTCATGTGACTACACACTGCATAAAAGTTTATGTCCACACTGAGTTGACTGTTATGGATATTTGGGTCTGTTGTTGCATATGCCAGTGATTTGTTGTTTTATTTGAGTTATTACTCAAAGTATGCATAGGCCACAATATCTCTTAGTCCAAATCCAATTTGTTGAGTATTTGGGCTGTTTTAAAGTTGAGGGTTCCTGTGAATGAAGCTTGTAAGTATGTCACCAGCCATCTGTGTACTTATGTCTTCTCATCTCCTGAGTTAATAACCAGAAGTAGTATCTCAGTGTCTTTAGGTATGTATAAATTAATAAGACACTGAAAAGGCTTTTTCCATAATGACTGCATTGCTTGGCATTCCAGCCAGCAATTTGTGATATTTCTAAAAGTTCTGAATCCATGAGATCATATTAATCTTTCTGTTTTTTAAAAAATAATAGCTATTCTGGTAGTATGTCATGATACCTTATTGTGATTTTTAAAAATTTATTTATTTATCTGAAAGTCAGAGTTACACAGAGAGAGAAAGTGAGGCAAAGAGAGATGGTGAGGAGAAGTCTTCCATTCAGTGGTTCACTCCCCAATTAGCTGCAATGGCCAGAGTTGCACCAGTCTGAAGCCAGGAGCCAGGAGCTTCCTCTGGGTCTCTCATGGGGCACAGGGTCCCAATGACTTGGCCATCTCCCACTGCTTTCCCAGACCATAGCAGAGAGCTGGATTGGAAATGGAGCAGCTATATGGGATACTGGCACTGCAGGTGGTGGCTACACCTGCTATGCCACAACTGGCCCCCTTATTGTAATTTTAATTAAGATGTTCAACAGGTATTTATATTCTTAGTTGTAAATCTTCTCTTTGATGAGTTACCTATTCACATGAGTTATCTAATTTTTAATTGGATGATCTCTATGTTATAAATGTTTTCCATTTATTCCAGATAAAAGATCATTACCAAAAGTGTAATTGGGAATTACATTTTCCATAATTCTATGACATGCCTCTCTTAATCATGTTTCAAGATGAACAAAAGTATTGAATTTATTCATTTATTAGTGTGTGTTTCATTATTGCTTCATTGTTCATGTTTTTTCTGTCATATTGAAAAATAAACCATCCTCTAACCCAATTGTAAAATTATTTTTCTTTCTTATTACTTCCTAAGGAAACTTTATAGTGTTTTGTTTTACATTTAGATCTGTCATCAATTTAATATTGGATATTATGTACAGTCAAGATATGAGGTGAGGTTACTTTTATGTTAATTTTAATTGAACTAGCATGATTTGTTGAGAAGACTTCAATTCATTTCTTTTGAAGAATTGGTACTTTTAACTTTGTAAAAATTAGCTGAATATGTATTGTGAGTCTACATCTGAAGTCTATTAATTAGTTTCTATTAAAGTAGTTTTATTAATCCACATGTCTATTTTTTGGCAGTTCTATACTAACTTGATTATTTTAGATTTAAAAGTTTATTAAGGGGCTGGCACTGTGGCGCAGCAGGTGCACACCCTGAAGCACCGGCATCCCATATGGGCCCTGGTTCAAGTCCCGGCTGCTGCTCTTCCAATCCAGTTCTCTGGCATGGCCTGGGAAACAGTAGAAGATGGTCCAAGTGCTTGGGCCCCTGCACCCATGTAGGAGACCCAGAAGAAGCTCCTGGCTCCAGGCTTTGTATCAGCACAGCTCTGGCCATTCTGGCCATCTGGGGAGTGAACCATCAGATGGAAGAACTCTCTCTGCCTCTCCTCTCTCTGTATAACTCTGATTTTTGAATAAATAAATAAATCTTTAAAAAATTTATTAAAAGATGGTAGGCTAATGTAGAATCTCTATATAACTATATACAACCGCAAATCAGCTTAACAGTGTCTTCAAAAACTCTGTGTTGTTGGGGCCAGAGATTTGGCATACTGGGTTAAGCCTCAGCCTAAAATGCTAGCATCCCATATGGGCACTGGTTCAAGTCCCATGTGCTCCACTTCCTGTCCAGCTCACTGCTAAGGAATCTGGGAAAGCAGTAGAAGATGGCTCGATTACTAGGGCCCTGGAATCCACATGGGAGACCCTGAAGAAGCTCCTGGCTTAGGCCTAGCCCAGCCCCAGCCATTGCACTATTTTGGGAGTGAACCAGCAGATGGAAGACTCTCTGTTCTCTCTCTCTCTCTCTCTCTCTCTCTCTCTCTCTCTCTCTCTTTCTATCTCTCCTTCTCTCTGTATCTCTGCTTTTTGAATAAACAAAAATTTTTTTAAAAAATCTGCTGTTTTGATTGTGATTGCACTGAATATAGATATTTATTGAGAAAATTACTTCTTTAACAATATACATTTTCAGCCCATAAGCCCAACACCAGTATTTGTCTATCTGGGTATACTTTAATTAGTTTCATCAGTGTTTTGTAATTAGATACATATGATTATTTCAAATATTTTCTGTGGTTTCACAACTAAGTTTTTCAGTGCTATCATCAATGTTATTTTTTCTATCACTTTTCAATTGTTATTGCCAATATTTGGATATACACTGGATATTTATATTGATCTTTTATCCTGAAAGCTGAATCAATTGACTTATTAATATTTATTGTTGCTTTTTCTTTGAGTTTATTTTTCTACCATTATTTAACTGACTAAATTTTTCAGTAGAATGATGAATAGAAATGGTAAAAATGAACATCATTGCTTTTTTTTTGAGATGTTAGTGGAGAAGAGTTTGATCTTCCACTAGTAAGTGAATATAAACAGGCTTCTCTAGATCACCTTCATCAAATTGCAAACATTTCCTTCCATTCCTAGTTTAGTGAAAGTTTTTATAATGTCCATGTATTAAATTTTGTCCAGCTTTTGCCTGTATCTGTTGAGATAATCATTTTTTACATCTGTTGATAAGGTGGTTCACATCAATCAATTTTTAAATGTTGAATCAAGTTTTCTTTCTTGGAACAAATCCCATATTATCAAAATTAGTTTTTCAATACACTGATGGATTTCATCTACTAATATTGATAATTTATGTTCATATTTGTGAGAGATATCAGAGATATCTTTTTTCATCTTCTTCTCTTGTAATGACTCTGTCAAATATTGATATCAAGCTAATGATGACCTCATAAAATGAGCTGGAAACTTTTCTGGTAGGTTTGTCAAGAATTAGTATTTTTTTTTAAGATATCCTGTAGAATCCACTTGCTCTAGTTGGCCTGGGAGTCTCTTTGTGGGAAATATTTAATCATAAATTCAATTATTTAGTATATACAATACTGTTAATTCTTCTTAGATGAGCTTTGCTATTTCATATTCTTTTTTTTTTCATTTTTATCTAATTTGGTGAATTCATGGAGGTCAAATTAGTCATAATACACTTCCTTCAGTACCTGTAAGATCTTTTGTGAAATCCTTTTCATTGATATTTGAAATTTGTTATTTTTCTTTCATATGTATATTTAAAAAGTAGCTGGGTTTGGTCAATACACATATTAAATCTATTCATTTTTAAAAGAAAACATTCATTGGTTTTTCTTAATTTTTTTCTATTTTTAACTTTGTTGACTGATTTATTTTGATTATTTTCTATCTTCTATTTAACTTTAGATTTAATTTGGTCCTCATTTTCCATTTTCTTAATGGGGAAGTTTACATTATTGCTTTGAGACCGCTGTTTCTTTATTTTTATTTGAAAAACAGACTTTACAGGGAAAGAGAGAGAGAGAGAGAGAGAGAGAGAGAGAGAGAGAATCTTCCATCTGCTGGTTCACTCCCCAAATGGCCACCACAGCTGGGCAGATCTGTAGCCAGGAGTCAGGAGCTTCTTCTGGGTCTCCCATATGGGTGCAGGGGCCTGAGCACTTGGGCCATCCTTCTCTGCTTTTCCAGGCACATCAGCAGGGAGCTGGATTGGAAGTGGAGCATCCAGGACTCTAACCACCACCTATATGGGATAAAGGTGTCTCAAGTGTCTACTTTACCCACTATGCCACAATGCCAGCCCCAATTCTTTCTTTTTTAATGTAAGCATTAATGGTATAAACTTCTGTGCTTATACTGCTGAGACTTTTTTAAAAGAGATACATATTTTGTCAGAATTTTTAAAAAGCATTTATTTGTTTGAAATAAATAGAGTTGGAGAGAGAGAAAGAGAGAAGAGGAGAGGAAAGAGAAGAGAGGAGAAGAGAGAATAAAGAAAGATGTTCCATTCACTGGTTCACTCCCCAAATAGCAGTAATGCTCAGGGTTGGGGCAGGTTGAAAGTAGGATTCTGAAACTCCATCCAGGTCTCTGGTGTAAGTACTAGGAGTCCAACCAGTTGGGCCATTTTCCATTGCTTTCCAACATGCAGTAGTAAGGAGTTAGGTCAGAAAGGGAACAGCTGGAACTAGAATCAGTATTCGTATTGGATGCCTGGAGTTGCTGGCTTAACTGGATTTATACCCCAACACAAGCCCCTATTCTAGGATTTTATATGTCACACTCGCTCAATACCAATTCTCTATGGATATATTAAATTGATCTTCTGTATATAAAGATAAGTTAAAATGAATCTTGACGAAGAATGGGATGGGAGAGGAGTGGGAGATGGGATGGTTGTGGGTGGGAGGGTGGTTATGGGGGGGAAAAGTGGCTATAATCTAAAAGTTGTACTTTGAAAATTTATATTTATTAAATAAAAGTTAAAAAAAGAAAACAAGGACAAATGTTTTAATAATAAAGGTGAAAGTAACCAGAAAAAAACTAAGGAATTAAACAAGATGAGTGGTTTTTAAATCAGTGGTTTGTTGAATTAGCAAACTTAATATTTTCATTCACTCAATATTCTCATTTATCACCTCCATGGTTGAGCCAAAGTGTCTTCATAAATATCTTAATCAACATCTTTAATACTGATATTGGCACTTATTCTCATTGTCTATTTTCTGGTGCTAAAAACACAATAACACAGATTGAATAAATTCTAAAAAGAAAAAGTTTATTCTGGCTGACATTTGTAGCCCAAAAATAGGGACCCAGTTGGGGACCACTTTACTGCTGGCAGAGTCCTGAGGCAGTGTAGGGCATCACCTAGGCAAAGGCAGGGGCATGGGAGAAACTCAGAAACGTCTCATCCAGAACTTCTAGAAAAATAATACTCTGATTCAAAGTATGAGAAAAATACTCTCATAAAGATATTAGAAAAAATACCCTTGAGAAAATCAAACACATTAATCCTTGATCGGATGCATGCATTAATCCATTCGTGGGGGCAGAGCTCTAATCACCTATTACAGGTTCCACTTTTGTTCTTGTAATATCTGGTAATGGAGATTAATTTCAAGATAAGTTTCAGAGGAGAGAAACCACATTCAAATCATAGCAATGAGAAATTCTGATTCTTCACTAGACTAGTATCTCTGGAGAACAGAAATCTACTTAAACTTGACTTTTCTCTGTAGCTGGAACAACATATAGTTCATAGTAGATCTATGGTAGAACCATGATACACACACACACACACACACATAAATATAAATATAAATGTAAAATTGACCTAAGGTGATATCCAACATTTCTTTCAGATCTAAAGACCTAAGGATATATGTTACTGATTGATACTGGAAATGCAGATGGCGATTTTGTTCTCTGAAAACTGATGCCTGGCTTGTAATGTGCAATGGAACAGTTATCTACTGCATGGAGGAAAAGTAGAAAAAATAACTAAAAAGCCAGAGAGATGCATTTTATATTGAAGAACTTGGGACATTCAATTTTTTTAATTCACCAAAAACCGCTTGTCTGTACTTTCTTCAGAGTTTCTTCAGGTAAAATTGATAAAATCTGGGTCGTTTGACATTCTAAAATGTAGAAATTAAAGAATTAGAAATTTTAATGGAATGTGGGCACCTTAGACACCATCAACCTTGTAAGGGTTAACAAATAGTGTCATGTTATTTGAAAAATTTCCCTGAAAATAAACATTTCATTTTAAATTTTCAAGACTATATTAATACTATAATCCCTTTCTTAATAGGCAGTGAGAAGGAATACTATTTAAGCATGGTACCAGTATATTACATGGAATACATGTGGCAGAAAAAGTTTTATCCAAAAAGCACAGCATAGTTCAGTCTCTTTGAACTGCAAATAGCCAATCTCAACAATCACTGTTCCAGAGGAAAAGTAAAATGAATTTAGTTTTGCTTCAAGTTATTTGCATCTGAGGGGACAAACCCTGTGCACACCCATAACATTTTGTCTTTGAACCAGTAACTAAAATGTGTGAAGTTGTTAAGGCACCTTGTAAAAGCTGAGAGGTCAGTGAAGGGTTTGAACCTGAATAACATAGCACTCTTTTAACCTTTTAGTTCAAAACAAACAGAAAGACACACCATAAGCTCACTGACAGAACAGCTGTTTTATTTCTCTGCTGTAGATAATCCACATGGCCTGTTTGGGTTCACCTTTCTCCTCTTATAGAAATAGTGCACTCCCTCCCCTTCAGATCCTTCTGTGCAGAAGGTTTGTGAGACTGTCTTTTCTGTTGTTGCCCTACCACAGTGCCTATGGTTCTGGGGAGGTATTTTTACCTACTACAATCCTCAACAGTTTCTCTAATGCTACCATTGTATGTTTATGCTCATGGGGAAGACAAAAGCCATCCCTCAAATGAGTGTCATGTATGTTGAACACTGACCACATGCCAGTCAGTATTCTAGGCACTTGTATATACAGTGGGCATCACACACACACACACACACACACACACAGAGTCTGAACATTGAGCTCAATTTTTTTATTGAATAAATTTTGTTGGAGATGAATATGGTCTTGGCATTGTTGTTAGATCCCTATGGGCAGAGTGTTGTGTGTGTTTGTTTACAGTTGCTTAGTTTTGGGAATACTGAGTAACTGTAAATATAATATTATCTATTTCATAACACTATAAATTATAGCACTATTTTTTTACTTCAAATACCATCCAAATTAAACTACTGGAAAAGCGTTATATTCCAGTATGCTACATTGACATATCTCATGCATCTCACAGAATTACATTAAAAAGTTCCTGAAAAATGGGATTACAATGCAAGTTTATTTTAAGGCAAAAATTTTTTAAAGCCATGCATGTGAACAGTCTCCTAAAACGTCATGGAAAATGTGTGCTACCAAAAATAAAAACTTTGTATGTAATTCAATCTTTTTGCACAAAAATGAACTAATCTTTTAATTTCATTTTCCTTTGAGCTTTTGGAGGTACCTTCACCAATACCTTTTCAAGTTCACAATCAATTTTCGCTTCCTTAGGATCCAAAGACATATAGGTTTTATTCATTTTAGAGGCTGATAAGTGGGAAAGTCCTTTGGATAAAATGCATCTATAAATGCAAATACCTGGTAATGGTTCAATCAGATATTATCTGAATATGAAGCAAAGCATATCATAAGTTTGGAAAAGTACCTTACTTTAACTTCAATGTTAAAATGGTATATTCAAATAAATTAAATTTTAGTTAAAATTAGCATGCTAAAATATTTCTATAAAGTGTTCTATTCTGTAATATTGGGCTAAAATTTCTTACTTGTTAACTGCAAAGTGGCAGGTGTGAGTGTTGTGGCCCTGTGGGTTAGGCTGTGCATTAAAATACTCATATCCCATAGGGAAGTGCTGGTTCAAATCTCAGTCACTCTGCTTCTGATGCAGCGACCTGGTGATGTGCCTGGGAAGGCAGTAGATAATGGTCCAAATAGTTGGATCCTTGCCGCAAACATGGGAAACCATGATGGAATTCCAGGTTCCATACTTCAGCCTGGCCAAACCCCACCTATTTTTGGCACTGGAGAAGCGTGAATTGGTACATGAAAGTTCTCTCTCCGTGTTTCTCATTTTCTGTCTTTCAAGTAAAGAAAGAGATCTTTAAAAGAAAAGGTACATGGAAAATATTATTTTCTATGGGACCAATATGGGCAGTAGATTTGTTTTGTTTGACTCTCTTAATATAAATTATTTTCTCTATTTAAAATTGGTAATTTCATATAAAAGAAACAGAGTTATAAATTCTCTGCAGAAATTGCAGACATGAAATCCCAGGCCTACTTCCTCCCAATGCCACAGTGAACTGAACCTGCCCATTTCTTTTATTAAGTATGCTCTCTACAGCTCAATAAAGCCCAATCAACTACAATTTTACACCTCAATTTATTTACATTATGTTTCTAGTTGCAGTAGACTTTACAATTTGCTAGAAGTTCCTGGAACCTACTCTCATCATTCAATACATAGGGCTAATGTAAGACATTTGGTTTTTTACTTTGGTAATTTTAGTTGCTTATAATGACCATTTTGCCCTGGGAGATGACTTTAGAATGTATTTGTACCTTAAGGAGTATAAAAGACAATTTAAAAACTTACAAATATATTCATTGGTTAGAATTTTATAGCTTAAAATGACGTGAATCTAATGCAGAGAGGTTACTAATTTGTGTACTGTCATGTAACCATGTACTTGCCTAGCTGATCCAGGAATAAAGGTTTCTTGACACTCAACTCACCTTAAGAAATATTTTTTGTCAGATTTACAAACAGAAACTTTTACACTGCATATAAATAGCTATGGAAACATTATGTTCCATGGGACAAAATAATACATGTGCACTGTTTTAATACTTAATTGATCTGAGACTTTTTATAGTACATCATTTCAAATTTTAACATTTTGCTTAAAATGTACTCCATCATTTATATTATAATTAAAATTGTACATAAAAACTAAAATATTCCTACCTTTCAAAATGCATTAAAATGCTTGCCATGAACAAAAAAATGCTGACTCTGGCATTCTGACATATTAATATAATGTTAGTAATATTAAAAATAATGTGGGTTAATTTTAATCACTTAGAATATATGGTTCTCATTTGTTATCACTAGTTTGAAAAACAATGTTCCTGTTGCTAAGTATTCCCACTGAGTGAATAATAAAACTTTACAGGATGATAATTATTAGAGTTCATAAATCTATTTTCTCAAAATATCGAGCAGGTTTAGTCAGCTTTATATAGAAGTATGATCTTCAACTAGTTTCAAAGTGTTATTTAAAATTTCAATTCTAAAAGACATTTTTTAAACACACATCACAGTGAGGTTGAATTAATATACTCACCAATGTACTTAGCTTGCATTTTTACTGGTTTGTTCCTAATAGTCATGATAAGCTGGGTACTATTTTCATTTATTCTAATGTATAACCAATAACTATCAATCTGCCCATTAAGTTCATTCCAAGACATGGGCTATCTTCCTAACAATATATTAGTTAAATATTGTTAGAATGGCAATTTATTTTATAATTTTGTTTTAATGAATTTTGATTACTGATAATGGATTATCTTAGTGACAAAATTAAGTCAGAGTTACTCATTCAATCAAATCTAAAATTGTCATTGATATATATGTCTGTGAAATAAAAATATATAAAAAGTCTATTTTTGCATTCCCCAGGGCTCACCTATTCTCTTTAATTTCAAAGTGATGTATGTTATCTATTTATTTGAAAGATAGAATGATAGAGTTATCCAGACAGAGAGATCTTTCATCCTCTGGTTCACTCCCCAGTGCCAGCAACATCCAGGACTTGGTCAGCCCTAAACTAGAAGCCAGGAACTCCACCTGAGTTTCCTTTGGCAGGAGGCTGGATCAGAAGCAGAGTCAGGTCTCAAATCCAGGCACTTTGATATGGAATGTGGGTGTCCCAATGGTATCTTTAACCACTGTGCCAATATGCACACCCTGACTCATTCTTACTAACAGATATTGTTAAGTGCTTTCTTTTTGTTATGGCTAATTTTATATCTAAAGTAATACATTATAATTTCCTTTCTTAATTTCAAAGAGGTAAACATCATCTATTGTTTTTTCATTATGGAAAAGAATTTCTCTTAATTATACACTGGCATTGTCTTTTAATGTATTTGTCACTCTATTTGCTCCATAGATCAAGCTTCTAAATTGAAAAAAAAAATCTGAAATTTTATTCTCTCTCTTTTCAAACATACACATGGTTTTGATTCTATTCTTTGGATTTTTCTTTTTGGTCTCCTAACTCAATATAAAAACTTAGGTACGAAACACAAAGATGTTATAAATCCTTAATATACTCATTACCAATTATCTATGGAATCACTTTCTATGTGAAAAATAGGTACTTTTATTGTTCACATTATTATGACTGTAATGATTTGCTTCTAGGGTGGGACAAGAAATTCACAAGGATTAGATTTTCATCTTTAAGAATTTAACAGATCCAGCCTGTGTATCCAAAATACTTCTCTGTGTTTATTAATGAAATTTTACTAATATCTATGCTTAGTTTCTGAATACACTGTGCCATTGTGAAATTACTATTTATTAAAGCAATCTAGTATGGAACATATACACTAAACTCTTTCTCATTAGGCCAGTTGCATTCCATTTTATTCCATGTCTACTGTACCTAAAACAAAAGTTGAGCAAAAAAGGACTTTAACTTTGTTGACAAATGATTACAGAGCTTTTTCATTACTTGGATTCATGTTCTACTTTCTTAATCTTTTGGTAAGCTGACTTGATATTAAGAATTTAGAATTCCTGGGCCGGCGTCGTGGCTCACTAGGCTAATCCTCCACCTTGCGGTGCCGGCACACCGGGTTCTAGTCCCGGTCAGGGCACCGGATTCTGTCCCGGTTGCCCCTCTTCCAGGCCAGCTCTCTGCTGTGGCCAGGGAGTGCAGTGGAGGACGGCCCAAGTGCTTGGGCCCTGCACCCGCATGGGAGACCAGGAGAAGTACCTGGCTCCTGCCATCGGATCAGCACAGTGCGCTGGCTGCAGCGGCCATTGGAGGGTGAACCAACGGCAAAGGAAGACCTTTCTCTCTGTCTCTCTCTCTCACTGTCCACTCTGCCTGTCAAAAAAAAAAAAGAATTTAGAATTCCTTTTCATTGAATCACAAACACATTTTGGCATGTTTCTAAGTTGTATTATTAGGT